ATCTCCACAAATGCTCAGATAAGGTATATAAATCTAAACAATAATATAAAAATACAAGAAGTCAAAGAAGTTTGAACAGAACACTGTGTTGAAAACCTAAAGATATGAATAAAAATAATAGAAAAGAAGATAACTACTAAACAAAGAATAGAACAGAAAAAAAGAATAAGAGAAAATATTGAAAGAAGATTTGGCATAATAGATAAAGAGGAAAAAAAATGCTTGATAGCATCCTGGAAAGACCCTGGAACAAGATCTCACTAGAAAGAATACTTGTTATAGCAAATGACAATACAGGAAAAAAGGAGCTTATCTATAAACCAGACAAAGTTAAACAAGAAGTTGACAAGTACTTTGCAAAACAATTTTAAAAAGACATACTTAACACAGAAGAGAAGGAAGAAGCCTAGCAAGATGAATACACACTATGTAACTATATATAGCAAGACTAGTATAATAATATTCTTGAAAAAATTGAAAAAATGAATAGAAAGAGATACTGCAAAAAACTTCAAACAAGTCAGCTTAGGGTTATCTAACATAGAGTACACAATTCTGAAGAGACTGGGTAAGAAAGCCACAGACCTTTTTCTAGAACTTCTAAACAGTATTATAGAAAAAGGCATCATGCCAAAGAAATGGAAAGTTGAAATGATTTTTCTAATTCCAAAACTAGCAGAATGGGATCTACAGCTCAAAAACACGAGGCCTATTATGCTACTAGAAATAGCCAAGAAAAGACTAATAAGAATTATCTAACACAGACTTTGTGATATCATTATCCAACATAAGATCTTAAAGGACCCAAACTTTGCAGGATTACAAGGCGAATACATACAAGAGCCAATTCATATTCTAAATACATTAATAGAAGCAGCAAAACAAAAAAACAAGGAAATTTGAATAATCTTTGTTGATATCAAAAAAGTATTCAATATGGTCAATCTCACAAAACTCCAACTCATACTAAAAAGAATCAAGATCCCAAACAAGCTAGAACCCCTCCTTGTGTATATATATGCACAAACAAGAAAGTTAAAGTAATCACTAAATTTGGCTTAACAAAAGGATTCCACCCAGAATGTAGGATAGACCAAGGAGAGGTAATCTTACCCCTGCTATGGAGAATATACCTTGACTCCCTACTATATAAACTGCACAAATGTAACTATGATACAGAAGCAAAAATAGAATAACCAATAGAAATAGTCCAGAGAAAAACAAAAAAAGAAAAAATAAATATAACTGGGCTAGCATATGCAGATGATACAGCCCTCGTTGCATACACTAAAATAAATATGCAAAACATAGTTGACATAGCAGAATCCTTTTTTAAGCTAAACAAAATTGAAAAAAAAACAGAACTTCTAGTAATAAATGGAAGAAGCAAAACCAAGAAAAAATCAGTTTATATCAAAAAAGAAAAAGAAAAAATAGTAGCAAAAAAGAAAAAAGATGTAATCTGATATCTAGGAGTCTGGTTAACTATAGCAGACCTAAAGCCCACAACTATTAAAAAGCTTAGAATAGAAATCAAGCAAATGGCCAACCTGCTAAACAGAAAAGGAATATCAATAGAGCATATAAAATATATAAACAACATGGTGCTCCTCCTCAGAGTGGAGTACAAGCTTAACTTAATAATGTTATCTAAACAGGAATGTAACAAACTCCACTAACTGATAATCAAACTAGCAAAATGAAAAGCAGAAATAGCCTCAACTGCCTTTAACACTATTCCATCACATAATGATATATAGGAAATTAACTTGCTATGGCAATGGTACACAGAACACATTATCACAGAATGGGTACTTAAAATAAACAACCCAAACCTGGTCGGTGACCTTACTAGAATAAGACTTAAAGAGGCACAGCTATTACTAAGATTCACGGTACCTATTTGGCTTCTTGACAACAAAGAGATCCAAAAATTAAAGTAGAAAAATAATCTCAATATGAGTATACTGATAATATCTAAAGAATTAGGCATTAGTATCCAAAATAAAAAATAGAAAAAAGACTGGTTGGTCTATAGTTTCGAGCAAAAGAGATTTCAAAGAAATAAAAACAATCTTAGACAACAAAGAGTGGAAAAAAGGCACTATAGCACTTTGTAATCTTAACATATGATTCTTAGAACAAATTACTACATGTCAAAACAACTACTTGCTTACATAGCACCAAATTAAAAGGATCCAAAATCATGAAGCAAAAGAGAAAACACTATAGTGGTTTCGAAAACTAGAAAGCATGGTATTAGCATGCCCAACCTCTAGAAAGCTACATAATAACTTTGCTTAAGGAAAAGAGATTAACGAAATGCAAATAAAGCTGAAAAAAAAAGAAGTTTCTCACAAAAGATCGAAGAAAGAATAGGTAATAGAAACAAAGAATATGCATAGTGGCCCATTCCTAGGCAAAGTAGAGAAGAAATCTCCTAACCGAAAGCTACATATAGTAGAATAAAAGGAGAATGATAAGGAAAACATACTGCCCTACGAGCATCCCAGAACACTTGTAACTTCTTCAAAAAAATCTCAGAAAATTAACAGCAATAAGGTAGAAGATGTAAGTCAGTGGATTAAAAGAAGACCCGGGGGTGGCTGGGCATCAGCAATGAGTCTAAAGCAACTAAAAGACCTTGTAGTTTCAACAAGAAACTATGACAAAAAAAATTTAGAACTAGAAATAGAACATGTAGTAGGTAATATAAACTAGGAAACATATATGATTATATCTTCAATAATACATACACAAAAACAGAGCAAGCACTAAAAGAAAATATAGTTTACAAGGAAATAACTTACTACACAGATGGCTCACTCGTTAGAGGAGGTACAGAAAATTACAGAGCAGGATATAGAATAGTTTAACTAGATAGTAAGGGAGCAATAATTAGAGAACTTAAAGGCAGAATCCAAGAATGGTTTTTCTCTACTAGATCCGAACTTGTAGCAATACTTATAGCCATATTAATATCTCCAAATGATAGCAAGATTGATATCTTCACAGACAGCATAGCAGCAATACAAGCAATTAAGAAGAGTCAAAAAGCTAAAGGCCCCAGAAGGTGGTACAAGATAAAAAACCCAAGTATACTGGGTATGATCACAAAGATCCTATCCACCAAGAATCTAGACATGCAACTCCACAAAGTAAAAGCACATGCAGGCAATATGCTAAATGATCTTGCAGACAAGACAGCAAAAAAAGATATACAAAAAGCAGAAATAACCTTCATTAACATAAAAGAAACACAAGGTGTAATACTAAAACCAACTTGGAACAATCAGCTAATCAAAACCCTAATTTGAAGCTTTCTCAAAACCCTAACACAAACCTTTCAAAAAATAGACTAGCTATTTAACACAGACCAAAAAAACCAGATACACCAAAGAAGAATCAAAAAACAAGACTAGAAGGTCTTTAGAACTCTCTGAAAGAGAGAGAGAGAAAAAAAAAGCAAGTTCTCTAAAACTAAACAAGAAATGGAGCTTTAGACTTAAATGTCTAGATGGCTTCTTTCCCATGCTACATATATAAAAAAGAAATCGAAAAGACCTATACCAAACAGCAATATGTAGGAAATGCAAAAGGGAGGAAGAAAACTTTGAACACCTCACAGCATGTGGAAAAGATGAAGCAGAGTGGATAGAAAAAGAGTACACAATAGCAAAAAAAATCTGGTAGAACCTAAATATCTTAGCAAGAAAGAAAATCTCTTATAACAATATATATTCAGTCTTCGCAGAAGGCAGTACTACTGATAGACAAAAGAAAAAAAGTTACTTAGCAAGAGGATTAATTGAAACAGATTTAACAGCTTTGCTAAAATCAACAAGGATTACCAGAAAAGACACAGAAACAATAATACTCTAATGGTGAGATAAGTAGTATACTGTCTTCCAGGAAGAAATATAACTATGACATTGTGAAAAAGTTACAAAATAGGAAAAAGAGCTTAAATCAGCCCCAAGGAAAAAAAAGAAAAAAGAACCTGGAGGAAAAAAGTACCAGAAAAACCAGATATAGCCAAACCACAAGACAAATCTGAAGAAAAAGAAGATGGACTCAAAGGAAAAAAAGTAGGAAAAAACTAGCAGGTATCATTCAAAAAAAGTTTGAACATAGTAACAAAAGAAACAAATAGATGGATATGGACTGGTAGGTGGTCCAGGTGGAACAAAAATTAGTTATAATCATAATAGGCTATAGATTCTGGTTAATAAACTGTGGACTTGTTATTTGAAGTAGATAAAGAGGAAGCAGTGAGATCATTTCTACTTTGGCAGATCACACATAGGTACTATTTGGCAACTGGGTGAGCCACAATTAGTTTAAAATAGCATAGCTATAAATAAATCATACATTTATTACAAATGTAAACTCTACAATATAAAATAAAGTGATCAACTCTTCCCTGTAGATCCTCGTACCAAAATTGAGCTAAAGACAAATAGTTAAAAGACAGTAAAATACACTACTAAACAGTACTTTAGAGACTAAGAAAAAAGAAGTATCAAGGAAAATCAACTAAAGTTTACTAGTACTTCTTGTCCGTCTGTCAACTGGTCAAAGACGTATAGCTGAAAAACTCCTACTCAGAAAAATTTTCCCTATAAAAGTGAATTTTGGGGAATTGGCTTTGACCCTGTAATGTAGATCACTAAAAACAACAAACAATCATGTGACGTGCCTGCGATTAAAGTAAACAAACAAACATCAACGCGAACATACGTCATGTGCAAATAAGTATGCTGCCACTTGTAGAATATAGAAACTTCTTCTCCAAATCAAGAGAGGAGAAACTTGTGCTTTACAGTAAACAAGAGCCAACAACACTAAAACAAGATAAATTTGTAGCAGAGTACCTCAGAGCGAATAATGTCTGTCTCATTGCAATTATTCGCATAGTTATTGAAAGATATAAATGGGCAGAGAGTAAAGATTTTAAGCATGAGTCTATTTCAGATGAGGAGAAAACCCTGCTAGGGAATATGGTTACTGCAAATGATACTCAAGAAGAATCTGTTAGAAATAGCTCTATTCTGATAGACATCATTTCTATTAAGCCAATTACCCTATTAAGCAATTATGGGAAAAATATACTAACTGATGGCAAGAGCTCTGCTCGTAAAAGATATCTCACTGAACAGGAAGAAACAATCACTTCAACTAACAATGAGCTTGAAAGCAGTCAAAACATACTAGTACAAAATGAAGTCGGCACATTAGATTATGGTTTGGTTAAACCTCTCCCAACAGACAAATATAGCAGTTCAAAAAGCAAAATCAGTAAAAAAGTTAAAAAACATGAAAACATATTTAACTCAGTATAGGCACTCGAGGGAGATTTCACTTCAAAAGAATATATAAATGAATCTTCGTATTTCTTTACATACTGGGATCTTCCAAGAGAAACAAGCGTAGCAGAAACTAAAAAATTTCTTAAGTATTTTGGTAGAGCATCTATTCTAGCTTGGCAATATAACTTCACAAGCAAGGCAGCTTTTATTAAAATTACAACATCAGCTAAAGAACGAGAAACCTCATTAAGAGAAAATTGGTCAGTTCATTTTGACCAAGGCAAGATATATAGAGTCACACTAGGCAAATTCAATATCGAACTTTTAGAAAAGCAAAACAAATTCAAAACTATTATATATAACGTACCATCAACAGCATATGATAGCCTTTTACTCCGTCAGCTAAAAAAATACAAAGTACAAGCAGTGCATACACTAAATAACCAAAATGGCAACCAAAGCAGAAGAGCACAATTGTATTTTAAGTCTGAGCAGGATTTTTTACAAGCTCAAAAGTTAATGCTATACTATTTTAATACGAAATTAGAGTGGAAATCACATAGTAGAGAGGCAGAAAGCAGTAGTTTCACAAGTATACAACTTCCTCAAGGTACAAAAAGACTGCAAACAAACTCAAGTAGATTCTCTTGGCAGACCAATCCAGAAAGCAAAATAGCTATAGAAACCCTAAAACAGGATATCAATAAGCATGGAAATCTAAGGCCGAGATTAATTGAGGAAAATCTAGTTCCAGACAAAGAAAACTTAGATACTCAATCTAGAAGTATATTAAAGCCGTTTAAAGGAAGTGTGAATAAACCAAAATGCAAGTTTACGGGAAAGAATACCTAGTCCATTAACACGCAACGTAAAGACAAAAGATCAATTACTGATCAAGAACCAAAAAATTTGTGGAAGAAAGTAGTAAAAATAAAGCAGTCCAAGTTAACCTGTTGCAAGAAATTCTTAAAAGATTAGAATCACTTGAAGAATATCAGAATGGGAGCAAAGTTCCTATATACTCCTGAGAGGCACCACAGGCACCACATCAATTATAGGTACCCCGAATAGTAGCCAGGTTCGGATATAGCCAGTACTATCAAGAATTTCAGAACTGGCTAGGCAGATCAACATAGCAACACACAACATTAACGGGCTTAAGGTGCATAATTATAAAATAGAGCTTCTGTATAGAATATATATTTACTTCTTTCACATTTAAGGTTCGTTCTTGTTCCATCGAGTAATAATGCTGTGATATTTGCTGAGAGATTAAGATTCTTTATATACTCGATGCTTTCTGTCTCTAACTCTACTGTATTTATAAGTTGGCTCTCTACTATGTTACTTTCCTTTTTGAGATAACTGTAGGTTTCTGGTAAAATTTTCACGCATGTACTGTTGTTGGTTTTTGATACATATTCTACTCTTCCTAGTACTTTGTCTTGCTTTAATTCTAATATACAGTTGTTTTCTTTGCCCTTTGTGTTATAATCACATCCTTGACAGTACTTTATCAAAGTACTGCTTTTCGTTAGACCTGATTCTATCCAATGTTTGACAAGTACTTTGTTGTGATTCTTCTTTTGTATTCAGCCAAATAGGAGTTGATCTTTTTTCCCTTCGAACAAGATCCAGTCTCTTCTTCTTTTGTCTGGGTGAATATTAAGCAGTCTGGAGACAAGAGCTTCTTTATTTATTTCTTGTAGGTGAAACTGTGACTTTACTTTTCGTTTTTCTGCTTTTTTCAGAACTGCTTCTTCGATGGCTATATACCAGAGAAGCATTTTTCTACAGCTACTAAAACCTTTAATTGTCCTAACTTGTTGCCATGTTAACAGGTTCTTGCCACTGGAATCGAGCAACTGATTGATATAGTATATACCTAGTTTTGCTTGTGCCCTTCTACTTTTACTTTTTTGCTTAGTATCTAGCAAACTTGTAATTGTTGGTTCTGATTCTTGGATATACTAGCCATTCTCTTCAGTCCTAAATATTATATCTATTTCTTTGCAATGTTCGATTATATTTAATATGATATTGTTCTTGTATACTGAACATGTTTCATTAGCTCTTTCTTGCCAAACATTGCGTATTATGTGGTTCTCTAAAATTCTTTGCCTAATTTATACTTTGGTTAGGCTTTCTATTGTACCAGAGCTATTTAGTCTTTTAAAAAGCGATATGACTTGTTTTGCTAAAACTGTTCCTGTAAGCATTTTAATATCTAGTGTCTTTCTATATACTAATATACTATTTGGTACTGTTTGGGCAATACCTAGCTTTCTTTTTATCAAACATAGGAAGGGTTGATGAATTAAGTATAATTCTCTTTCTGACAGAGCTACCATTTGTAGGATATAATCTAGTTTTAGGATTAGAACTTGATTGTTTATATATGCCAGTTGGCTTGCTGTAGTTTTCTTTCTTTCTAATTTATGTGCAAACAAGCCCACAATCTGCTTTACTCTTTTTTTTATCTTGCTTATTTCTTTAGTGATGTGAGAGAATGTGTCTAGAAAGCGGATTTCATTAAGCTTTTTAACTGCTTCTACTACAGCTCTGCTATACTCTATTTGTCTTTCTTTGAATGGAAGTTTTGAGTTGAATGCAATTAGCTTGGACTTGTTACTATTGATTTCTATGCTATTTAATTGAAAGAACTGTTCTGCAATCTGGATCATTTGCTTAAGCTAGTCTTTGAAGCTAGCAATCTATGTCGTGTCATCTGTGTAGGCAAGAACTGCTTGTCTTATACTTTTTTCTTTACTAGTTCCTAGCAGCTCTTCAAATTGCTTTGGCATTTCGATTTTATAATCTAATTCTTTGTTTTTTTGTATTCGGTCTAACAGAGAGTCATAGAAGATTCTCTATAGTAGAGAAGAGATAGCCTCTCCTTGATCAATACCCTCTTCTGCTAAAACTTCTTGTGTTAATCCGAATGCTGTTATAATCTTTAACTTTCTGTTTGTAAACAGGTTTAGAATGAATTTGCAACATCTGTCTGGGACTTTAATTCTTCTTAAGGCTTTTTCTAATATGTTTAGGTTTATTGAATTGAATGCCTTCTTCATATCTTGAAATAGTAACCAGATTTCTTACTTATTTTCTTTTACTTCCTTGATAAGCAATTTCAGTATATGAGCTAGCTCTTCAGTGGAATTGTCTGGTAATTCTGCAAAGTTGGGACCATGTAAGATATCTTTTTCTTTAATGACTTTGCTTAGTCTCTTCATTAGTATCTTTGTCACACATTTTCTAAATACTTCTATTAATGTGATTGGTCTAACTCTATCTAGATTAAATTCCCAATCTTGCCCTTTTGGTATGAGGTAAATTTGTATTATTTTCTACTTCGCTGAAACATTGCCAACTTGTAGATATAATTTTGCAAAGTTCTTAAAGATTTGTTGAGACTTTATATCTGCTTGTTTTAATAGAGAATATGAAATTGTTGACATTCCTGGGGCTGAGTTATCTTTACTTTTCCTTAATATTGCTTGCCATTCCTCTAGTGTAATTGGTTGCATTACTGGATCAAACCAAGACTTTTGGATTCTCTTTGGGCTGATACTCATCAGACCAAAGTTTCTCAATCTCTGTGTAGCTATTTTCTTTGCCTATGAATTGCTTTTGGAAGTGGGCTTGAACTTCTTCCAAAACTTCTACCAGATCATTTAATAATATTTCTTGATCTTGATTTTGTAATAGCACTCTATCCAAGACTACTTTGTGAGATGGCCACTCTAGCAGACTGGTTAGCATTTTCTTTTGATCATTTACAATTTGTTCTGCTCTTCTTTGAATATATGCTCATATTTTTTTTTTCTTCTCCTGCTCGCTACTTGTTATTAACTTGCTTTCAATTGCTTTCCACCACAAAAGTGTATCTGTCTGCTATATGCCATCTTCTAGTATCTTGATATCTTTAATATTGCTATTTGCTAATGAGTTTATTCGCTTGATTCTTTTATTCCAATCTGCGATTTTCTCTTGCAGCCTGATACTGTTTGCTACTCTAGTTTCTTTAATTACCCTGCCTAGCAAGTATGCTGCTTTTAAGAATCTGCTTTTTTTTCTTTTGCGATTTACTCTTCTTCCAAAATCTACTATCTTGTTTGGTAGATTGTGCTGACCTGCCTGTAAAATTGTACTCTCTATAGTCTCCCATAGTTCATCGAGATCTGCTTCTAACTTTTCTAATATCAATAGGTCTGTAGGCAATGTTTCTTGTTTAAAAACTTTTAGTTGTTTAATGTTTAGTCTATTCTACAGACTTGTTCGATAACTGTTCCAATTTTCTTCTGTAGCTAAATCAAGCTTCTACACTCTTTGCTTCGTACTTGGTGTATTTCTGGTCGAGTGGTTACTTAATTGGGATAGCAAATACCATTTAATTTTTGTAAATGCTAAGTTATGATCACTACCTGTGATCACTAACATGTTCTTGATATTAGCCTTTTGTGTTATTTTCACTATGTTTTGAAATATCTATATTTGATCAATTCTTGTTGCGACTGTACTATTGCTCCATGTAAACTTCTTTTCGTGAAAGTTGAGCAATCTGTATATATCCACAAAATTAGATTCTTTAAGCCATTTATACAGTGCTAGTTTTCTAGAACTCTCTGTTTGTGATAACTTGTCTAATAATGGATCTATTGTATGATTAAAGTTTCCTATTATGATTGTAAGATCCTTTTCTTGTGTTTTACTTATTTTGTCTCAGACTAATATATCTATCTTTTTTACCATCTTTGTATCATTTGGGGGGATGTAAACCAGGATTACTACTAACTTGTAGATTTTAAAATAAAAGTGCACTATTAACATATATTCATTTGGCTTCTCTATTCTACTGATATGCTTTTCTATATCCTCTTGAACTAGGAGGCCAACACCAAAGCCTTTCTTTTTAGATTTTGACCCAATCGACCATATTTCTTTGAAATTAATATTGTCTTTTACTACAAACCCTGCTTCACGCTCTTGCAGGTTTGTCTTTGTGACACCAATTATGTTGTAATCTTTTTCTACTGCCCATTTTAACAGAAGCTCTATTCTATAATTATACACCTTAAGCCCATTAATGTTGTATGTTGCTATGTTGATTTGCCTAGCTAGTTCTGAAATTCTTGATAGTACTGGCTGTGTCCGAACCTGGCTGCTATTCGGGGTACCTATAGTTGATATGGTACCTGTGGCGCCTCTCAGAAGTGCTAAAGGCTTTGCTCCCATTCTGATATTCTTCAAGTGATTCTAATCTTTTAAGAATTTCTTGCAACAGGTCGACTTGGTCTGTTTTATTTTTACTACTTTCTTTCACAAATTTTTTTGGTTCTTGATCGGTAATTGGTTTTTTGCCTTTCCGTTGCATGTTAATAGACTGGGTATTCTTTCCCGTAAACTTGCGATTTGGTTTATTCACGCTTCCTTCAAACAGCTTTAACATACTTCTGGATTGAGTATCTAAGTTTTCTTTGTCTAGAACTAGATTTTCCTCAATTAATCTTGGCCTTAGATTTCCGTGCTTATTGATATCCTGTTTTAGGGTTTCTGTAGCTATTTTGCTTTCTGAATTGGTCTGCTGAGAGAATCTACTTAAGTTTGTTCGCAGTCTTTTTGTATCTTGAGGAAGTTGTATACTTGTGAAACTACTGCTTTCTGCCTCTCTACTATGTGATTTCCACTCTAATTTCATATTAAAATAGTATAGTGTTGACTTTTGAGCTTGTAAAAGATCCTGCTCAGACTTAAGATACAATTGTGCTCTTCTGCTTTGGTTGCCATTTCAGTTATTTAATATATGTACTGCTTGTACTCTGTATTTTTTTAACTGACAGAGTAAAAGGCTATCATATACTGTTGATGATACGTTATATATAATAGTTTTGAATTTGTTTCGCTCTTCTAAAAGTTCGATATCAAATTTGGCTGGTGTGACTCTATACGTCTTGCCTTGGTTAAGATGAACTGACCAATTTTCTCTTAATGAGGTTTCTCGCTCCTCAGCTGATGCTGTAATTTTAATAAAAGCTACCTTGCTTGTGAAGTTATATTGCCAAGCTAGAATAGATGCTCTACCAAAATACTTAAGAAATTTTTTGATTTCTGCTACACTTGTTTCTCTTGGAAGATCCCAGAGTATAAAGAAATACGAAGATTCATTTATATATTCTTTTGAAGTGAAATCTCCCTGGGTGCTCATACTGAGTTAAATATGTCTTCATGTTTTTTAACTTTTTTACTGATTTTATTTTTTGAACTACTGTATTTGTTTGTTGGGAGAGGTTTAATCAAACCATAATCTAATATGCTGACTTTATTTTGTACTAGTATGTTTTGACTGCTTTCAAACTCATTGTTAGTTGAAGTAATTGTTTCTTCCTGTTTAGTGAGATATCTTTTACGAGTAGAGCTCTTGCCATCAGTTAGTATATTTTTCCCATAATTGCTTAATAGAGTGATTGGCTTAATAGAAACAATGTCTATCAGAATAGAGCTATTTCTAACAGATTCTTCTTGAGTATTATTTGCAGTAATCATATTCCCTAGCAGGGTTTTCTCCTCATCTAAAATAGACTCATGCTTAAAATCTTTACTCTCTGCCCATTTATATCTTTCAATAACTGTGCGAATAATTGCAATAAGGCAAACATCATTCGCTCCGAGGTACTCTGCTACAAATTTATCTTGTTTTAGTGTTGTTGGCTTTTGTTTACTATAAAGCGCAAGTTTCTTCTCTCTTGATTTGGAGAAGAAGTTTCTATATTCTACAAGTGGCAGCATACTTATTTGCACGTGATGTATATTCACGTTGATGTTTGTTTGTTTACTTTAATCGCAGGCGTGTCATGTGATTGTTTGTTGTTTTTAGTGATCTACGTTACAGGGTCAAAGCCAATTTCCCAAAATTCACTTTTGTAAAGAAAATTTTTTCGAGAAGCAGTTTTTCAGCTATACGTCTTTAACCAGTTGACAGACGAACAAAAAGTACTAGTAAACTTTAGTTGATTTTCCTTGATACTTCTTTTCTCTTAGTCTCTAAAATACTGTTTAGTAGTGTATTTTACTATTTTTTGACTATTTGTCTTTAGCTCAATTTTGGTACGAGGATCTGCAGGGGAGAGTTTTTCAAACTACAGTCCTTCATAATGAAAAAAAAAATTAAATTAAACAAATAATTTTATAATTTTACAAATATATTATCGATAGCTATAAGAATATATTTGATTTATTTAAACAAAGATTATTAATAAAATTT